GATGACAGAGTATGGAGGCTCTAGTGGGAGAGGAAGGCTGTCTATCTGATGAGTTTATATTCATACTCAGATGCCAAGGAACTCAGAAAGTAAGCGACTGTGACCAGTAATAGTCATATATATAGAGATTAGAAATGCATGTTAAAACATCTCAATGTCAATTGCCTTAAAATGAATTTTTCTGTATGAAACTGTGTACTTTAACAATGAAGTGGAGATCTTTTTTAAACATTAAAAACTTATTTAATTTTATGTCTTATAGAGTTTATAATGAGTAAAAGATTGTACAAGCGTAATAATCCATCTGTAAACCTAAAAATGTACAGCCAATTTTGAAAGAGAGGTACTCTAGCTCAGAAAAATATTATTGAATAGGTTAATGCTGTTGTAATGAAACGCTTGTTCTAATTTAAAAAACATGTATTGAGACAGGTTCTCCCCTAGCCACAGCTGTCCTGGAACTAGTTATATAGACCAGGCTGGCCTACATCTCACAGAGATCCCCCTGCTTCTATGTCTCCAGTGCTGGGATTAAAGGCATCAGCCACCACTCCAAGTTCTTATTAGTATTTACAACCAACTAGGAAATATGTATTTCATTGAATAATATATGATTTAAATGAACAAGCACAGTAAACACCAGATCAAATGCTTCTTTTCTGATCTGAATATGTTCTCTAGGACCATAGACCACTAAATGACAAATTCCACATGAAAAGGGACTGTGCATGCTGTTTTGTTTACTGTTGCATCACCAGCTTGGCACGTGGTATCTGGCACCTACTAAATGTTCTGTATGCATTAGAGTAATAAATGCTTGAGCAAATGAGTCAGGCAGGCATCGAGGATGCTTATTTTCTTCAGTGGCTTTCTCAGAGTTGTGCAGCACAGAGAGCCTTTATGTTTCAGCAGGTCCTGGAAACATAAATAAATCTTTCTTTTTACCCATCAAAAGCAGATTCACATGCATTTTAAAACAAGTTCCAAGCTGGAGAGATGGCTCAGCGGTTAAGAGTACTGACTGCTCTTGCAGAAGACCCAGGTTTGATTCCCAGCACCCACATGGCAGTGAACAACAACCCGCAACTCCAGTTCCAGGGGAATCTGAAGCCTTCTTTTGACATCCATGGGCATTGCATGACTTGGGTGCACTTACATGCACGCAGGAAATACATTTGTATACATAAAAATAAATTATATATATATATATATAAAGCTGATATTCTCTTTAAGGCATTTAACTGAGACAGCATTGAAGATTTTGTGGTAATTAAAGAATGTTGAAGGGTGGGTTTTTTTTGTATTGTTTTGTTTTGAAATATTAAGCTCAGTATGTGCTGCAGTGTTGGTACAGTTCTTTAGGGAACCTTTTACTCTCACTCTTGTATTGTTTAATGTCTCTATTATACCTCATAAAGCCTATGATTGTCTTTTACTTCTCTGTAAGCTAAATCCTATCTGACTTTATTTTGTTGTGCAATAACTCTTTTTTCTTGTTTTCCCTGTCTGATTCCTCCTGTCTTTTGAGATCTGTGCTTCACAGCGTGGAGTAGTGTGCTTCACCGGTTTGAACTTGAAACGCAGATCCCACTACTTATTAATGTTTGATATTAAACTACTGGTTTCAGTGATCCGAAACATTCTCTGCGTTCTATCATTGGGCTGTTGTAGGATTTGAATGAGGTAGCTGTGCTGTATGCACAAGAACTACTGCTTAGAAAGAGAAAAGTGTTGATGGTCCTTGTCACAGTTATTCTATCAGAATGTATTGCCTAAATCCTAAATCTGATCCTGTCTGTGCTTACTTAAATGTTCAGTGTTTTCCTGAAGCCTAAATGCAGAGTATATAACTCTTAACTTCCCTTCACACCCTCCTCACCTACCATCTCTTCCTTTTCACCTCCCCTTGTCACTGGCCTTTTCTGCATTCAGTTAGATAAGTTTCCTGGTTTCTAAGATTTGGCACATGCTGCTTTCCTCTCTAGAAAGTCGTCCTCACAGTCCCTGTCCCCATGCCCCTCCACCCCTGTCCCCCTCCCCCAACTCCGCTCCCGCTCTGGCTAAAAGCTTTCTCTGGAACCATCTCTACTGCTTCTTGGTAAAATAACACTCCTTCTATGTCTAATAGACTAGGTAGAGAAACGTTGATTTTGTTTATGTTTATGCCTGGCCTTTTGAAGTAGTTGAAGTAGTTTTCTTTAGGTCGGGAGTCCTTTTTAAGTCATCTGTCTTAGATGTCCCAGACTACACAGAATATAGTAAAGACTTAATAAATGTCACAGAGCAAAGACGCGTGCCTAGCCCAGAGTCTCCAGCCTCCTAACAGGTATTCAATAGCATTCACTGGATTACATTTGCTGACTTCCCTTTAATTCAAACAAGATTCTCTCCTAAAGAGCTCCTTCCTACTGCCTCACACTGGTTAGACTCCAGGTGTTTCAGGGTCCTGTTTGAAGGGAGTCACCAACAGGAGCTAACATGCTGGCAGTTTTAAGCAAGAAGCACTCCTTAGGAGAACTAGAAGAAAAGTAGGACTTGCCAGGGAAGGCCCTGGAAAAAGGATTCCAGGCCAGCGCCAGAGCAGCTGCCTATTCTGGCTGCCTCCCCTTCCCATTCCAGAGCTACTCCGAATGGACAGCGAAGGTAAAAGGTAGGGGAGCAAGCTGAGAAGTTGGCCAGTCTCTCCCTGTCTTTCTCCAAAAAAGCACTACACCAAACCTGGTGACCTAAGGTGCCTCCCAAGAGGATCTGATCTAATTCTTAGCCTCCTAAACCCGCCCAGAGTTCCCTTGGCTTTCCCCCCACTTCTTCCAGGGCTGTCGCTACCAACTCCCCCTGCCTAGCACCCTTCCACCCTCTTCAGGCAATTGGAGAACCGCCTCCAGACTTCTGGCTCTAGGACCTCTGTGACTGTCAACAGAAAATGCCAATCACCAACGGTCTTAGCCAAATCACTGAGAACCCTATTTAAAAAACAACAACAACAAAAACAACCACAACGAAAAACAGGAAAGGAACACAGCAACCTCCAACATAAGAAAACTCCTCCGTTACACACATGCAGATAAGCTCCCCTGCTTGGAGACAGTAGCTTGTCTCCGACTACCGGGGGAACACGGAGCACCCTAGACAGGAACTTTAAAGGGATTGAAATCTGTTGCCTGTTCCACTAGGAATATTGTTTGCAAGGCACAAGGTGTCTTTTTGTAGTGAGTACCCTTTGCGCATGCGCAGGTCCATTCGGGTACTCACTGCCCAGCCGCCGACTAAGTTGCATTCCTTGAATCTTCACAGAAAAGACAATTCTTTCATCGGAGTTAGTTATGTGGACAGTACAAAATCGAGAGAGTTTGGGGCTTCTCTCTTTCCCTGTGATGGTTGCCATGGTTTGTTGTGCACACAGGTGAGCTGCCTTGTTCAATCTCTCTTTTTTCTTGGTGTTTTTTTTCTTTCCTTTTCCTTTTCCGTGCCTGCTGGATCATGTATATTGTTATTTGGGGGTAGGTGTGCTTATATCTTTTCATGTCTGCTCGCAGTTTGTGCACATTCTGAATACCGTTCCTACTTCTTCCTTTCAGCGCCAATGAACCCAGCAACATGTCCTACGTAAAAGAGACAGTGGACAGACTGCTCAAAGGATATGACATTCGCTTGCGGCCGGACTTTGGAGGTAAAGCTTCATCTTTTTCTTTTCAACCTGTAACCCATCCCTATTTCACCTTTTCTGTCAGAGATAATGCCCCCTCCCCCTTTTTGACATTTTTGTAAGCGTGCTGTACTCCGCCCTGGACACACACACACACACACACACACACACACACACACACACACGACCGGGATCTCCTGTCTCAGGTGGATTTACCCTCAGCCTGAGTCGTCCCCTTCTCCAGTCCGACACACCCTCTGCACTGTCACTGCATCACGCGTGTGCCCACACCTGTTTTCCTAGGCTGTCCCTTACAACAGGGTGGGGGAGGGAGCCTGTTTAGCATTGTAGGTCTGGGAAGACCCCCACGTACCCCTCGCCCCTGCCACTCAGACACTGTCTTTAATATGGCCCACGTCCCCCGCAGGGCCCCCCGTGGACGTCGGGATGCGGATCGATGTCGCCAGCATAGATATGGTCTCGGAAGTGAACATGGTGAGTGGCCTCCCCGCGGGCGCGGCGGCCCGGCTTACGCAGATGCGAAATGGACCTGTCCCCGTGTCCTCTGCTTTTCATTGGTGGTCACCTGGCCCCTGGTCCCGAGGGTCCCACTCCACGCGTGCTCCCCACGCCTGTACACACACTCTCGCTCGCCCCATGCTTTGTATTTTGGACACACACCGGCTACTGCGGTGTTCCGAAGGAAACGCGCTCCGCACAATTTGGGGAAGGAAGGGTGACTGTGGCGCCGGCGGATGGGCTGGGGCGGAGTCGGAGCCTTACTTTGGTAGGGTTTCCCAGTTCTTCGCGACCGGCAGGGCACCATCTGCCGGCAGCCCAGCGGCCTGCGCTGGGGCCCCCAGACCCCGAGTTAACAGTCCCCTGCAGCCTCCTAACCCCAAAGCACCCAGACTCCACCACCACGCTCCGCGAGGGGCTAGGGAGTGTCCCCTCCAACAGCATGTGGCGGGAGCAACAGGCTGAGATGAACCTTCTGCTTGCTAACACCAGAAGTGCACAAGCTGCCTTCTTGGTGGCTTAGCTTGTTCCCATGCGAGGCTTCATGGTTCCTCTGTCTGCAGCCTGTGCATTTAAGTTGGAGGAAACCCAGTTTGTTACATGGTTTTGCTTTACTCTAGAATCCTAGATGACTAAAAGGACTGGGTTGCGGGGTGGGGGTGTGTGCTGGGTAATGACACACCATCCTTTCATTTCAAAGAGGTCTACACTACATTTCTTCCTTTTTTTTGTTTTCCTCCTTTTCTCTGGAGCGACTATGGAATAGGTTGGAGCCATAGCTGTCCCTTTCTTTGTGGGCTGTTTCCAACCACCGAGGCTAGAGTTTTCTGTTTGTTTCTAGCTGTTCAGGGGAAAATGCCTGTTGCTTTTCCAGAGTCAACTATCCAGGGTACAGTTAGATTTACAAGAATAAAGTGCCATTTTTATTCCACTGGAAAAAAATACGGCAGTAGAAATTTAGACATCCTGAGTAATTTAGACTGAACCCTTTTAAGATTTTTCTCGTCTATGGAAATATGAGTTACTGAATTGTTTTTACATTGTATCAGGAAACAGTAAATACATTTATAGCCCACTGAATTGTATTGGAATAAAATGCGTGAGTATTACATTTCAATATTTTATAGTTGAAATTCTCCTTGCTTTAAACAGGTTACTTAAAATACTATTTTGTGGTATCAGTGATTGTTTCAAATAGTATTTTTCAAATATTTTTGACTATTGGACTGAAAACGAAACTCAGTGTTTTTTTCTCAAATTTAATCTACACAAGTGGATATTTTCTGACTTAGCAAAGATTTCTAACAGATTTATATTCTGTTTACATTCATGATAGTACCACGAAGCAACTATTTATAAACACCGAGAGGGATGTAACAATATATGCATATAGAAAACTGTGGCCAAGGACTGCAAATGCTGCTGGATGAATTAGACAGTGTATTAGCTTAACATAGTGTTAATGTAGGCAAATTATTTTCCTTTCAGTCAATTACTGGGCATCTTTTATGCCTCTATATAGATAATTTATAGCATAGAAAATTCAAAAAGCTAAAAAAGCAAACTGTGCTTTTGCCAATGGTCTTCCTTATTGTGATAAGGTATCTACCTTTCCAGAACTGCAGGGACCTGGGTTCAGTTCCCAACACCACACACGCGCACGCACGCACACACACACACACACACACACACAGAGAGAGAGAGAGAGAGAGAGAGAGAGAGAGAGAGCTGTATTTATATATACCTTCTCAGTTCTTTTCCAACTGAATTAAATAAATAGGTTGCTGATAAGCATAACAACCCCCACAACAAAAAGCTCTGTATAATCAGTTGTTAAAATCATATGTAAGCTGAGGAAAAGGACTAACTCTAAATGCAGTAACACTGAACATTTCCTCCTAATGACTGAATATCAGCTGTTTACTCACTGCTCCATGATAGGTGCACTAGTTATGTTTTGAAAAAATAGTCACCCTAACAGATAACCCTTTGATAATATGCTCTACCAAAAATACTCGTTGCCTTTTCACAGCACATTAGAGACAGAGGAAAATAGAAGCTACTTAAAGTTGAAAAATAATAAACTTTATTTTTGTCTTATTTATCCTTTTAATGAGAGCTCCTGGCAAGACTTGGGGTTCATTTGAATCTCTCCTCTATGGCAAAGTATTGAAATCAATACACTGGAGTTAGCTAAGAAAAATGGAAATAAAAAGGGAATTTTTTAAAAAATTGAAGGCTTGGTATAAACACAGCATAGATGGTTAGCCCTGCCCCTATCAAGTGAGAGAATTGTCTATATGATGCTTTGGACACTGTAAGTAGGATCAGAAGTCTATGTGAAATAAGATTCATAGCTTATTATTAAATATCCTTTGGTACTTTGATAGACGGGAACTTATGTGATTGTTAAATAGAAAATTTTCACCAAATTAAAGACAAAATAAGAATTAACAATAAATAACACAACTAGCATTTAAGGAAAATGTAAGTTAAATCTATTTCTGCAGAATTACTCATCTTTATATTTTTATTAATTAGTATTATCTGCTCTATGACTAGGAAAAATAACATTATGCATTAAATTAATGGGTTTTGAGAACTAGATTCTGTAACTTTTCATCCCTTTCATGTGCTAGTGTAAATAAGGTGTGTCTCCAGTTTAAAGGCTGATATCAGTTCAAGAGTACTTTCTGAATGATGTTCTTCAGGATATAAAATGGTTTCCCAAATATAAGAGAAAGAAAAGAAGTCTTTAGAGTTATGAATATATATATAATAAAAAATCCTAACATTTTCCAACACAATAGCGTGTATAATCAGTATACTTTAATGTATCAGGTACAAATTACATGAAAAAATGAGAAAAGGAATCATTAGTTCTGAGCAGTGATTTTAAAAACTCTAACAATCCTCCTGTAGAAGAAGATCTCTTTCTAGTATTAGATACATGGGAAAGGACTTTTTTCTCATCGTGGTAGTTTTAGTGATGAGATGGTAACTTTATAGTGTCAACATTTTGTAAAGGTTCATCTTAGAAGAAAGCTGCCATGGTTTACATTCTGTGTATCAAACCCTTCAAACCTTTTAATTTAGGATTTCTGTAAAGCACTTCTCCCTGCCCCTCACATACACACACACACACACACACACACACACACACACACACACATACACACACACGAGGACTGACTAGACATGAACAGGAAGCAAGTAGATTAGAAGGAAACATGAGCTTCCAGAAATTGCTCATAAAGTAACCACCAACTCCTACCCAGCGAAAAACACAGTAGAAGACAAAAATGTTCTCTTTGCGTTGTAGCTTGAAGAAACATGATACTAACTAAATACAACTCAGTAGCTGAGATTTTGTACTAAGATTTCAATAACAAGCTGCCCCTCTTGCTCAAGCGCCAAATGCAATCGTCAAGTAACAAACCCAAATATAGTTCTGTCTTCAAGGTAAAGATATGACAGTTGTGTCCACCTGCAGAAGACTCTGCATGTAATGTAGTAACTCAAAGAGGATTCAGTCTCATTTCCAGCAAAAGATAGTTCATTCCCCTTTTCATTCATCTGTGGGTACAGATTTGAATGCTCTTAAAGTCATTGTAAATAGCATCAACAATGACAAAAATGAGACAATTTCATAAATAATGTCTGGAAGAAAAACAAACTTAACCTGCCAGATATCTATTTAAATTCGCTGCTGTTACTATTTCAGTATTAGATTCTAGTATTAGGAACATCCTTCAGTTATGTTTAATTACCATCACCATGATGACTTCAACAGTAAGCATTTTGTCAGAATCCCTCTCTACCATGTTTTCTGTGGCCCTTCTTCTCAATCTTAAATGAATAACTGAATCACTCTGAGACTGGACAAAAATGCAAATTCAAAATCTGAGACCTAGGATGGAGCTTGACATTTTATATTTGTCTTACATGCTGCAAGCTGCTGGTGTGTGGACAGTATTTCATCAAGTTTGCAAAGTGTTATTCTATGATTTAGCTTTTTAAAAAAAAAAAAAGTGAACACTTTTTTTTTCCTTTTAAATTGCTCTACTAATGGTATTATGTCAAGGTCTTGATTAGGTTTGAAGTTACTTTCCAGTTACTTAAATAGGTAGCTGTACTCAAAGGGAAGATTAGCTCCATAATTAAAGATAAGCAACACTAGAGACACAGGCTGAGATGAGGTGGTTCACTGTAAACAAAAGTCTTCCTGTATCAATACTCATGAGTCAGCCAGGGCTGTGATGACTATGAAAGAATTGCAAAGCACAGTAAATCACAACACTGGCATTTTCTTTTGCAGAATACCAGCAACTTTTCTTCTTCAAAACAGAAAATATTGAAATTCCCCCACACAGAGGAGCTAGCAATTGCTTGTAAAATAGCCTAAACATATTCTTGCTGCTGTCAATAAATTCTCTTGGGTTAAGAGAATTTCCATTGGAAACAGTGCAAATAGGTCAGTGCTATTTAAAAGCTGAAAAACATACCAGCAGTTAAATAAACAGATAAACATCTTTCCCTAGTCTATGGGTAATCACCCAGGTCTCTTGTGGTTCTACATTAGATATGATACCATCTGAGGGAAAACTCCTTGCTTGGTCTTTCTGTTTGGAGATAACAGATATCTTTATACCCTAAATCACGTTAGAACAAGACTATCTAGATCTTGAAATATTGGAGTTCCTATATGAAGGTCAGTGATTTTAGGATTACAGAAATGGTCATTAAAGTATGTAATAAAGTTAAAACAAATTTTTAAAATGTATTGAATATTTCGTACATGTGGGGTATGGCTCTCAAATATTTTAAATTAAACAATTATTTAATCCTGATCCAAGGGTATGCAATTCTTGTTTCTTGATGTAGATTAAAAAACTTAAACTGAGACAGAGAGAAATTTAAAACGAGAGAAGTTAAATAAAGTACCACAAAGTTATAGAACTAGTAAACTGAAGAGT